TCTAACAAATAAAGCTGCTATGAACATTTGTGTACAGATTTTGGGTGAATGTGAAGTTTCCACTTCTTTGTGCAATTGCTGGGTCATATGGCAATTGTGTGTTTAGCTTTTCTTAAAACTGCCAAAATGTTTTCCAGATGCCTGTACCATTTTACATTCCCACTAGCAATAGAGATGATCCAATTTCTTAAAATTTTCATAAGCATTCAGTATTGCCACTATTTCAGTCATTCTGCTAGGTATGTAGTGCTTTTTCATTGGAGTTTTGTTTCTCAACTGATTAATGATGTTGAACATCTTCCCATGTGTTATTTTCCATCTGTACATCCTCTTCAGTGAAGTTTGTTCAGACTGCTTACATATCTAATTGGATTATTTATTACTTTACAATTGAATTTTGAGAGCTTTTTACATATTCTAGGTACTAGTTCTTTGTCAGAAATACAGTTTGCACATATTTCCTCATAGTCTGTAGTTTATATTTTCATACTCTTCATATGAGTTTTTCACAGAGGAAAAAAACTTTCATTCTGATGAGGTCTAACTATTTTTTCTCTTATGACTCTTATTTATGGTGTCAAGTCTAAGAATATTTGTCTGGCTCTAGATTCTGAAGATGTTCTAAAATGGTCCTAGGTTTTTTGTCTCCGTTATATCAGCTTATTCTATGAGAAATCAAAGGCAGGGCTGGCCAGCTTCTGCAAGGCTCCCATATTCATGGGGCTTCTGTTCGTTCCAATTAGAGACAGCCACAGGCTAAGGCAAGCAGCCTAAAGAAAGAACACTTCACAGGCCCAACCCTAGAGATTCTGGTCTATGGGTCTGACATGGGGCCTCTATTTTTTATCTGGAAACCTACTATCATCCAATGTTCATGCATCCAAATCCAATCCAGAACTCATCAGATAAAAAGGGGCTCTAGAATTAGGCTACTTGAGTTTGTAACAAGAGATATACAGCGACTAGGGAAGGGAGGCTCTGGGAGCAGAAACCAGCCACAAAGTAAAAAGGTGGTCTTGAGATTCCCGCTGAGGTTCCTTGGTTGAGGCTAAAGGAAATGCACTGGGGCCAAGTCCTTCTGATCACAGTAATTGGTTTAACAGCAAATAACTATTACAGTGCCAGGGATGCTTTTCAGTGCTGGTGTTAGAGGTATGAACAAGAAGTCAACAACTTCTGTCTACCGAGTAACGCTTATGCTTTATTCAGGGCCAGGGGCCATGAGATAAGCAACATTTTGATAAATCAGCCTACACAATGAAACCTGTGAAACCTGGAAGTCAACCAAAATGACTTGTTTTTCTGATTCCTGAAAATTTTCCACCTTTGACAGGGTGCAGCCTTAGTACTCTTCTAACACTTATTTTGGTAGAAAATATTTGCATTTTCATTCTCTGACAGGTTTGCACCTTTCACAGGTTCTGACATTTACAGGTTTTAGTCTAGCATGTTAGGTGGTGGCAAAATACTGTGGAACCAACATTAGAAGATCTGGGGTGACAGAATTATTGGTATAGTGTCCAGGTGAGAGGAGAATCCCTGGCAGAAGGTGCAAAGGTCTGCAAAAGACTGAGGTGGAAACACCTGCTGTATCTGAGGAACTTCGAGGAGGTCAGCATGGCAGGAGGTACCACATGAGACTCGCACGAGTTTCATGGGCCACTAAGACAATTTGGGCTTTTACAAATGAGTAACAACTATGAATTTGGGGCAAACAAGAGGCATGATGGGATTGGTATATTAAAAGAACTATTCTGTCTGTTAAAAGAACATTAGGCTGGACAGGAGTAAGCCTAGAAGCAGAGACATCAAGTAGGAAGCACAATAATTCAGGCTTGAACCAAAGGAAGAAGTGGGTGTGGGGAGGAGTGATCGGATTCTGGGAACTGCTGAATAAAGCAGCAACAGGATTTCCTTGATGTGGAGGGTTGTTTTTTTTTGTTGTTGTTGTTGTTATGTGCCTTCGAGTCGTTTGCAACTCATAGCGACCCTATGTACAACAGCCCTAAACTGTGCTCTATCCTGTGCACAGGAGTTTTTGAGGAGGGGGGAAATCACACAGCACTCCAAAAGCATTTGGTGGGGGCAAGCTGCCATACTTTTTTTTGCCATTTGAGGAAGTATGTACTGCTCTGGTGACATAGGGAGTTGTGTGGTCTCTGATGTGAAGGCCATATCTCTGGGGTGGTTCTAATCCACCAGTGGTTCTGTGGGAGAAAGGTGAGCAATCTTCTCCCACGCAATCTGCAATCTTGGAAAACCAGTCCTGAATTTGGTACCAACTTGATGGCAATGAGCTGCGCAGAGCTGTACACAGAGTGAAGGGAATTCTGGTTGCAGTACAAAATTGTACTGCTAACTCAAACGTTGCACGTCTCCACCAGTTCTAATCTCCCAGGCACTCAGAGGGAGAAAGATGGGCAATCTCCTCCCACGCAATTTATAGACTCTGGAAATCCAGTAGAGGCGCAGCTATGAGTCACTTCTGACACCAAAGAAATAGGAAAGAAAGTATATAGAGTGAGTTGAGGGGGCGACCCAGAGCTCAGTTGTGTTTGGAGACATCTGTCATATCTACGTGGCAATTCAAAGTGTAGGAAGTTAGATGTTGAGTCTGGAGTCCAAGAGAGGTTGGGACAGAGGCATATTTCAGTTCTGAGACAACATTTAAGGCCAAGAGACTGAATATGCTGTAAGGGAAGAGTGAATATGCACAGAATGAACAACAGGACTGAAGCCCAAGACCTGGCAAACCTCTAGTTAAAAAGCCCAATGTGAAACTTAAACCACTGCCTGCAGCTGTCAGGAAATCCTGAGGATGCCTCAGTCCCCTCCATAGTCTGCAGTCCCAGAAAACTTCTGCTTCACAGGCATACAAATCCCATGATGAAGCATTGCAAAAACGAGGTGTGTTATCTCTCCCCGTTCAAGGTGATGAAGGTAAAGAAAGCATCTAAAGGGTGGTGACCCACACTGAGATATCAATCACCTCACTTGTATTAGAATTTTTTTGTTTATTTTTTGGTTTGGGGTTTTATAAGTTTTATTATTTTTGTGTGTGTGCCGTAAAATCGGATCTGACTGGTACAGGAGGAGATTGTCCCTCCTTCAGCAGAGCATCTGGTGGATTCTAACCACACAGCTCTGGGATTGCAGTGCAGCTTCTTGCCACTAGGCCACCAGAGCTCGCCTAGAATTGTGGTTAATGAGCCATCATGTTAGGACTGATTCATAGCTGACCCTCCAATGAATTTTTAAAGACAGTGAATAACACAGGAGAGATTGTCCATCTTTCTCCCCCAGAACTGCTGGCAGTTTCAAACTGTGTGCCTTTGAATTGGCAACAGTTCCTTACCATTAGGCCACGAGCTCTCCCTCCATTAGAATTAAAATTATTTTTAAAAAAATTTTGAAAACAGGTGCTGGCAAGGTTGTAGAGAAACTGGAATTGTCATCATTGCTGATGGGATTAAAAAATAGTTTGGTTAAGTTCTCCAAACACTGACTGTAGAACTCTATGACCCAGCAATCTCAATCCTAGATACAAACTCAAACATGAAGACAGGAATACAAACAGAGATCTGTACACTTGTGTTCACTGCAACACCTTTACAAAACTCAAAAGGTGAGAACAATCAAAATGCCCCAATTTGTATAAATGAAATGTAGCACATATACATAAAGTGTGATATCGTCACAAACTTGCATACTATGCAGTATAGAGAGAAATGAAGTTCTGATGTTTCCTACAACATGAATAACCATGAAAACATTACAATGAGTCAGTCACATGACCCCATCGTCTTCTGGTAATAGCTGTAGGGTATTTTGGGAAAGGATAGCAGTAATGGTGGCTTTGATAAATGTCTACAGTTCCGGCCTTTTGTTCATAGAGTGGCTATGAGTTGTGCTTGACTCGAAGGCAATCAACAACAACACAACAATGGTGGCATAACCTGAAAAACGTAACCACTGTCACTGGATTGTAAATGTGGACATTGTGGTAAATATTTTGGTGAATACACGCAGCCCTCCGTTTACAACATATTAGGGTTACAAAGAACCTCACTTACGCCTATCTGTGGTAGAGTTGTTTTGTTTTTACCTCTTTCTTTACATACCTACAAGTGTTGCAGTCATTTACTGATGTTATCATTCTCCGATGTAGTAAAAGATTGGATTTACAAAGATGCTGATAACAAAAGGAAAAATGAAAACAGGTATTCAATTTATGTCAGAACCACTTTGGTAGTAGAGACCAGATCCAAAGGCTGCTCTGGATCCTTATCCCTGGGAGACTTGAACCTCCTCCAAAGGAGGGACAGGAACTGTGGGGCAACAAGGGAGTCCACCCCAGGGACCACACACCAGACTCTAGCAGCACTTTTACTTCCACATCTGAACTCCCTGGATCCTCACAACAGCCCTGTGAGGTAGGTAGGGCAGAAAGGTTTCAGAGATCCCCATTTACAGATGAGGAGGTTGAGGCACAGAGAGGTGAAATGATTTGTCTAAGGTTACACAGCCAGCAGTAGAGAGAGTCCAAAGCCAGCATTCCTTAGGCCGTCTGGCAGTTTCCTCCCTCCCATACCCTCTGTGTCCCCCATCCTCTCTGACCTCTTCTAGGTCTATAGGGGCCCCCTCAGGACAGGCTGGCAATTGGAATTTTTTCAGGAACAGCCATTGAAGTGAGCCTGGTCAACTCTAAATAGGCACTGATCCAGCAGAGCATGAAGCCAGCTGGACAGAGGGCATAGTAGGCTCTAGGGCAAGAGTGGAGCTAGGTGCTGTTAGTGAATGAATGGTGCCAAAGGTGGTTGTGAGCATGTTGTGAGCTAGAGACAGGCCTCCCCACCCCTGAGGCAGTGCCTCGGGTACCCACCTCTGCACCTCCCTCATCCCACAGAGCCACAGTGAGATTCCTTCCTCAGCAGCAAAAGGAATGGCAGACATCGGCCCCTGGCCCTGTGCTGCCCTGGCTGACAGATCTCACAGGACCTTCAAACCCCTTCACGCAAGCACAGTGCTTCCACAGCTTGGCTAGGGCCCTGAGCCACGCCCCCGATAACAAAGAGTCGGGGCCCAGTCTGCAGGCTGGAGCAGGAGCAGCGGGCAGTGGGCATGGTGGGCAGGGCCTCCCAACGCCGCCGTGCAAGACTGAAGCCCTCCACAGAGCCCAGAGGGCATGGCTGGTTCCCTGCAGAAAAGAGGTGGCAAGTGGTAAGCCACAGAGGCTGCAAGAGCTCCAGGTCCTTTTGTTCCCCGAATGGAGGGCAGTCCTATGAGGCGTCACCCCAAGATGGCCTCTCAGTGTCTTGTTCTTATTGCCCCATCTGTCATTCATTCACTTATTCATGTTTCTACTTGCCCACTCAGTGGACAAGTCTCTTCTCTCCCCTAGAACCCTGATCACGCAGACCGTCTCTCCTATCTACTGCCACTAGAAAATTCCTAAGTCTGAGCTGGCCTGCCTCCTTGACAAGAGGCACGGAATTCTGACTTGGGAACCCGACCCATTCCCATAACTATGAAGCATCCTCCCATCTCTTGTACCAGTCCCCTCTCCACTCCCTTGTACTTGGCAATCAGAATCCAAAACTGTTCCAGGAACCATTAAATGCCCTGCCTTTGTGGAAAGTCCCTGCCAGATGTACCTCCCCACCAATACTTCTCCATCCTGCCTCAACCTCCCCTTTATAAGCTGCTTGCTTGTTCCACCTCAGTGCACTCATAACCTGAACATGCTTGTGCTGCTGGAGGTTGACCAGTTAAATACTGCTTGTGCCTTAACTGAGAGGTCACGAGTCACTATCACTGGATAGGACAGCTAGCAAAGCCTTGGCCTCTGCAGGATTTGGAAAAGGGCAGATGTTGGGGTTCAAGTTGGGGACTACTCTTTCTTGTGGCAGGGGCTCCCTTCTACATCTATTCCTATAGAGACTCACCAAGGCCCCCAAGTGCCACAATATGGCCCCCAAGGGAGCCAACCACGAAGTCAGCCCTCTTATCTCTCATGCGCAGGCTTCGGGGCAGTTTGGTCCAGGACCCTGCAAGAGAGGGGAGATCAGAGCCAGCTCCTTAGTATCCTTTTGTCCCACGGAGAGAAAAAGGACAGCCCAGGCCAAGCGATGCTCACCATGCTCCAGGTCGAACATCTCCACAGTATTGACAAAATGTGGACGAGAGTAGAAATTGTGAGGACCTGGCTGTTGCAGGCCGCCGAGACTAAAGACACTGCCTTCGGCCATGGCGCAGCCTGCAAAGGCCCGGCGACTGGGCAGGCTTGGGTGCCGGGTCCATGTACAGGCCTCCAGGTCAAAGGCCTCAAAAGCGGTCACCGGAAGCTTGCCTTGACGGCCCCCTGCCAAAGAGAGTCCTTGGTAGGGGGCTTGGAGGGATCTTGCCCTGCCTGCTTGCTGAGTCCTTGACAATACCCTCTCTTTCCTCCCACACAGTTATGTGCACACCTGACAGTAGATCATCCATCCACACTGCAGACCCTCGGGCCCTGGAGTTGGGTTTTCCAACCCCAGCAGGACCACCAGAGATCAGGGCCTTAAAGGAGGCCTTACTCATCCCAACACTCCTGCCACCTCACACCGCACCTGAAACCTTCTCCAGCCAATTCACGAAGATGGGGCTTCTGAGCTCTGAGTCCCTTTCCCGCAGCCCCCAGGCCCTTACCCAGGACATAGATCTTGTTTCCATGCAGGAAGGTGGAGGCCCCGTAGCAAGGTGTGGGCATGGAGGGTAGCGAAAGCCAGCAGTCCCGACGGGCCTCATATACCCGTACCTGGGCCTGGGGGGCCGTGTCAGGGCCCATTCCCCCCAGAGCATACACCATACCATCTGCATAGAAAAGAGGGATCTTGACTGTACCCCAGGCCTGGCCAGGGAACTCCCACTCTGACAGCCTCCCTGACCAGGCCAAGGATCCAACTGTTCATAACATTCTTCTCCAGTAACAGAGGCCCTGCTGCTCTTCTGGAGTGGGGGCTGGGAGAGCTGGGATTCCCGCTCTAGCCACAGCCCCTCCAAGTGAAGAGCAGGAGGCAGACGATCTAATTATAATCTGGCTCCGTCTCCCTGGAGACACTATGGCAACCACGTCTGGCATCCAAGCAGGGCTGGCCTGGACCTGTGGTCAGACCTTCAGGCCACAAGGTGGGGGGCTCCCTGAGGATAAGGGAACTGCTTAAGTCTCTAAGGCTCTAGGGATAAATGAGGCAGGGGCTTGAACTTGGGCTTGGGCAGGCACCTAACAAGGCAGGAAGTACTGACCACAAACCTTCAGTCCCCAGAGCCCTCAAAGCCCCTCAGCTCAATGCCCTTTCACTGGACTGTTTTTTAGCCTGTGCTGAGAACCTCAGGATCAGCTAGGGAAATAGTTAGGAGTTTCCACTGCAACTGTCCCTGTGCTGGCTTGGCTTTGGTCCATGTCAGGGTCATGTGTGTGTATGTATATGTGGGGGGGGGGAGCCTGAACCCCTGCTGGGCCCTGTTCCCCTCCCTGTCTCCTGCACTATTTATAACCCCCTTGTCTCCTAGGGATGAGGAATGGGGCAGGGAAGCATCTGGGGCTTCCCATCATCCTAGGGGCCAGCATGGACTCCACCCTCCACCTCAGAGACAGAATAGGCAGTTAAAGGAAGACTGCTACAGGCCCAGCTCAGAGCTAGTTTGGGGAGAGTACAATCAGGAAGACCAAGTCCAGGACAATCGTGGGGGGGGGGAATAAAAATCCATGTTTTTCAATCTTTGAGGGTAAGGAAAAGAATGGAAACTGCTGGGGTACCTGAAGGATCTTCCTTGGGAGTCGGGCCAAGTGTATCCCAGGCCCACTCACCTCTCTCCACAGTCGAAACTCCCATGGCTGCCTGAGGGAGGGTGGCCCGGCGCTCCCAGCGGCCCTCATCAGCTAGGAAAGCTTCCACAGCAGCTACTGGGCTCTGGCCCTCGTCCACGCCTCCCACCACCAGCACCTGCTTGCCCAGCACCACAGCAGCACCACCAGCCCGGGCAGTGGGCAGAGGCGCCAGTGTCAGCCATGTGTGAGAGGCCATGCCCAGTGCCTCAGTAGTGTCGAGGGGCAGTCCAGCCCAGCCACAGCCCCCCAACACCAGCAAGTGCCCATCCTGATGCACTACAGTGCCATAGACCCGGCAGGTGGGCATAGGGGGGAACACCTGCCAAGTAAAGGCCCGACCACCACTTGCAGCCATGGTATTCACTGCCAATGGCAGGCCATGCTATCTGATCAGGCTGCAGGCCTCACTTTGGAGCATGAGGAGGCCTCATCTTGTCTCTGCTAGGGCTTCAAGGGGCGCTTGGCCTTGCCTTCACCTAGAGGAGAGGGAAAACACAGGGTCACTGCTACTTACCAGTCTCTCATAGAAAAGATAAATACGTTGTACCTGGGGGACCGGGGACGGGGGGTGGAGGGGTGTGTTGCTGGTCCAAAATCACTGGTGGGAAAAGCAGGTGAGAGCCCACCTCCTCCAGCTAGCACACATGGTGGAGGTTCTCCTGGAGTGGAAAGGGGGGCTGAGCATCAGATACCAGGTTAGGTTCCCCTGCCCTACAGGGCATAAAGGAATCACATCCTTGCCCTTTGCCCTCACTGAGGAGCTCCTTGGTCAAAATCTGGGTTTAGATGGGAGGTGAGGCAATTAGAACAGACAGGTGTCTGGGACAGGACTTTCTACCCTTCCGCCCTCCCCCTTCCCTAGATGACACTCCCTGCACCCCTACCAAACAGAAGTGTTACTGCACTCAGTCTGGGGCAATCTGGGGTGCAGCCATCAGGGTCCCCCTCGTGCAGCCAGGAGCCCAACACCTGTTTATCCTATCATTACAAAATCTTTTAGGGCCATTTCACGGGGTCCACCCATTCATATTATCAAAAAACTAAAATCTGGGGTGTCTGAAACTAAGGGATATGGTTCTAGGGTTCCCCCCCATAAGGGCCATTCTTGGAGGTTTGCCCATTCCCATCCCATCCTCAAGAGACCAAGACTCCCTGGTGTCCAGAATCACAGACCCCTAAGGTCCCAGCGAGACCAAGCAGCTAGACTTCTGGGTCTTCCACTGCAGAATCTCAGGTTCCCATCCTCCACTTTCCCGCAGGGGCCACACTCTTAGGACCCTCAGCTAGAGGGCCTCGTGGCCCCAAACTTCGCATCTTACTCGAGGGAAGGGCGGGTCTGAGCGAGTGCTCTTGGGGCTCAGCACCCCGCTCCCTAAACTTCCCTGAATGTGGCTCCCGAGAGACTCACCAGTCAGGGCTGCTCTGGCGCTCCAGGGGAGCAGGGTCCAGCGTTCCGGTTCCGCTCTCCGCACAGGCGGGCTCCGGTGGGAGCCGAGGCCAGACTCCTGCTCGGCTCGGCCGTGGGGCGGGGCTGGATCAGGTCCGCCTCCTGCCCCCCTTCCAGACGCGGGGAGACCTGCCTCCCCCACACCTTAACCCTGCGCCTGCCGCGGCCGGAGCTGGGCGCGCGGACCCACGATCACACGCGGACGATGGGCTTGTGGACACTGGGCCTGCCCAGGATTTAAGGTCCGACCTCGGGTGGGGAAAGACATGAGGCAGAGGGGGGCGTCACGGCACGTGTATGGCGGGGGCCCATTCTGACCCAGCCTGAGAGCACCAGCTGGCGAGGAGGGGCAGCCTAGCCTGAGGGTTTGGCGGCTCGCACTCGCCCACCGCGGCTGGGTCCCCAGCCAAACAGCAGGCTTCGCAGCGGCGCCCCCTGGAGGCCGCTTGGGGCATGGCCTGCACCTCGGTGGGGGCTGCTGCTTTGGGACGCCCTGCACCTGCCAGTCACAGAGCTGGAAGGAGGAGGCTCAGCTATGGGTCGGTTCCCACTCAGTGGTACTCAATAACAACACTGAGGTCAGCGGCCGTGGGACAGGATTTAGCATCTGAATAGGTCTTGGCTGAAGAAATGAAGGATAAGGAAGTGGAGAGAAAGGAGAGGTTTGTGGCAGTTTTAGCTCTGAGCAGGGGGGTGAACTTGACGACCTCTTAGGCATCATCCTCTGGCACTCTGGTTATCCATCTTGAGAGTCCTGAGTCTACTTCTGGCCAACTCTGGAGTCAGCCAAGAGCACTGGGGCATGCCCACCTTAGACCTGGACCGTGTCCCAGCCTCTCTGAGAATTCTGAGTATCTCTGTCTGGTCTGTGACCTGGGATCCATTTTTGAAAGAGGAAGTCCTCTAAGTTACCTGTACCCATTCACTGCCTTGCTCTTCTTTCTGTGGACAGTGGTCTTGTTTTTCCCAGAAGCCGACTTGCAGAAAAAGATATAAGTGTGGGTAGTTAATGTGGAAAGTGAGACCCGAAGTACAAGCAGAGGAGTGGCTAAGGAGTGAGAAAAGCAGCCCATTAATCAAGCAAATCATCATCGTGGGTAATTGAGGACATGGACCTTTCATTATAAAGAGCAAGAACCACCAGTTTGTTATACTATAGTAGATACAGCATGTTGCTGTAAAACAGGAAGCTATGTCACCAGTATTTCAAATAGTAACAGGATCATCCATGGTGGACAGATTTCAGAGGAGCATCCAGATTAAGACAATCTAGTTCTGAAAAACAGCCAACAAGAACTTTATGGATCACAATGACATGTTGAGCAGAACAGGGCCAATGAGGACAAAGGAGACTTAATGAGATGAACTGTCACAGTGGTTACAGCAACAACTTGGAATGTGTCAACAATTATGAAGATGGCACAAGACGGAACAACATTTTGCTCCATTATGCATAAGGTCACCCACCATGAGTTGGTGTCAACCAATAGCAACCAGCAACAAAAGGAAGAGAAGTGGAGGCCTTATTCTCAAATCCCTACCAGTCATGAGTTAAGAACTATGTAGGGCCTGCCTTCCAGGGGAAATCTCAGGGTTGAAGTCATAGCTGAAGTCAAGGACCCACACAGGGATGGTGGTACTGGGTGAGTTACAGACTGTACATATTAGCTCAAAGACTGCTCTTCTCCAATGCCCACCCCACCCTCCCTTGACTTGGTCCTCATTTAGGGCAAGCTGACCAACCATATTTCTCACTGTGGCCTTTCCAAGATCTTTGCCCTTTAGATAGCTTTAACTGTCCTCACCCTTCCCTCTCCCCATCTTCCCAGTAGATTCCACACTATCCTCCTGTAGAACTCTTTTTTGTTTGTTTTCTTTTTCATTTTTTCCATGCCCCTGTAGAAGGGAGTTCTGGTGGGCTTGTGGCAAGAAGCTGTGCTGCAATCCTGAAGGCATGCGGTTTGAGGCCAACCAGATGCTCTGCAGGAGAAGGATGGTCAATCTCCTCCCATGTGATTAACTGCCTATGAAAACCTACCAGAGGGTCAGCTATGGGTCGGTTCTGACTCTACAGCATACAACAACTCAATGGTACAAAACAACAACATGCCCCTGTAGAACTCATACCCTCTCAGGAGCCACTGTCCTGTTGTCTGCCACTTCATTCACAAATTACTTTTGCCAAAATGACCATAGAATGGCATGGAGTTAAAACTAGGGTTCTCTGTGGTTTTTGTCTCAGTTGAACTCTGACTAGTATATTCTTCATCCCCTCACCTTCCTCCTGCCATCCACTCTGCCTCTCTTTGGGTTCTTCTGCACCCTTTGCTTTCTCTTTCTCTTCATAGAATGGCTTCTGTTAGTCCTTCTGGCTTCTTTTTGTACAATGCCCCCCATCCCCAGGCAGCTCCAGCTGACAACTCCTCTATTCATATCTAGATCTCTGTGGATGTGAATCCATGGTCCATCACTCAGGACCATATAAGCTATGCTCGAAGGTTGCACTTTATCTTGAGGACAAAGAGGTTCCAGTACCAGCCCCAGAGGTTCCTAGGGGCTAGCAGGATAGAGGGATATCCATTTAATCTCTTTCTCTCCTGTATCACTTATAGAAATAATGTTGAACTGCTACAATGACTGAGAAACCTCACATCAGGGGAAATAACAAAACCCCTCTTATGGGACTTTTCATCAGCATCTGTTCCACCTGTATCTTGGAAACATACTTTCTTTTCACCAGCCTTGTATTTTCTATTATACTGTGGGATCTGATTATTATTGGTATACATGGAAGCTATTGGCTTTTTCTTTTATATTCAGATACTACTCATATTGGCTATGATAATTTTTCTAATTACTACTTTTTTAGATAAATTACTTACAAAGGGTCTTATTTGTCTCTTCCCTCTCATTTGTTACACACTACATTTATATTTCTCTACCACACTGACTAGTATTTTCAAAAAGAGATTAAGACATTCTGGTGGAAAAGAAACATTCTTATTTTGTTCCTGCTTTAGTGTATCTGTTCTTTTCTCAATCCAGCCTTAAAGAAATGAGGCTAGCACGATGTCCATTGCTACAAAGATGACATTCTTGAGAAGGTAGGAAATCAGCAAACAATATCTAAGCGCAATTACAATTAGTTTCCTCCTATTCTTGAAATTATCCTGAGTTTGTTTTGCTTTTATTGTAAAATTCGTACAACAAAATATTTTCCACTTTACCCATTTTTAAGTGTAAATTTCATTTGATAACATTAATTACATCTACTATGCACTGGACCAATTGGCAGCATCAGGATGGATGGTGAAGAGATTGAGATTGTACACAGCTTTAGTTTGCTTGGCTCCATAGTCAACCGTCTTGGCACCAGCAGCCAGGAAATTAAAAGGCGCATTGCCATGGGAAAGTCTGCTGTTAGGGACCTCTCCAAAGTGCTGAAGAGCAACGGTATCTCTT